ATTAGTGGAGACGATGCAGAAGGACCTGACGGTAGCAGGGAAGGCTCAGGTGGGCTTGGTGGTAGCAAGGATGAAGCGCAGGAAAGCTGTGCGATAGCAGGGAAGGCTCAGGTGGGCTTGGTGGTAGCAAGGATGAAGCGCAGGAAAGCTGTGCGATAGCAGGGAAGGCTCAGGTGGGCTTGGTGGTAGCAAGGATGAAGCGCAGGAAAACTATGCGACAGCAGGGAAGGCGGTGGAAGGTGGGGTGGCTGCAGGGATAACACAGCTAGGCTTGACGACTGTGGGGGAGGAGTACAACGAGGGATCGACAAGATAATCATTACATTGGAGTAGGATACAGTCGGAACATCATCTTTCCTTGGATATAGCTCTAACCAGATCTTTGTAACCAAACTAGAATACATTTGTTATGGGTTAAAATAGACATCTAATGATGATTTGTTCTTGTGGCCAATTACATTTTAGGGGATACTTAGATAAATGATAAAAGGTTGTGTTAGCCTAAATTGTTCTGAAACATAAGTAACCAAGAAGATTTTTTGGTGGTCTCAGTGTGAGGAAGATATTGTCAAGTCAGATCTATGCCTCCATGCATGCAGATAATGAATCACTGTAACCTAGCATTTAGCTATTACTGAGCTAAGAGGGCCTACGGTACACACCTACAAAGATCTGACAAAGGTAACGAATGTGCTAAAAAAGGGTAGGTCAAGGAAAAGCCTAGACATGTAGAGATAGCTTGGTTGGGGCTCCATTAACCTATCCTCTAAGACTATTAGGACTCTAGATCTACTAATTCGTGAAGGAAGTGACCCAACTCGAGGATCACTTCGTTAGCAACCCATATTTTGCATCATAGAAATAAAAATGCTGATTTTAAAATCATTTAATTTTAAATCAAAATTTTTTTAAGATAAATTTTAGATTTACTTTTGCAGCAAAAGATTTTATCTTAAAGAGTCTAATCATGATTGTATCCAGACAAACCAAAAGCATAATAAAGAGTAAACACATGCAAGGTGTAGTAAAAACACATTAAATATGAAAGAATAAGACGTTGGGTGCCACTGAGTCGGCAACAACCCCAAAAAAGAAATAAGAGGCTTTCAGGCTCCACATATACATACCCAATACTAGAGCTATATGCGATGACCCTGCTCGAGGCTTGAAATTAACCAGTCAGGAACAACCAATCAGACGATTAAATTAAGTTCTTTATATTTCTAATTCTATCATTAACAGTTCAATATTCAAATATTTGTTAAAAGGGTCACTAAAGTATATAATTTAATTAATAAGTAAAAGTTTTATCTTTCTTGCTGTTG